TGACTTCAATAAATTCTTAGATAAGTTAAGATAAATATCATTCAGCTCTATATGATGTCTTATTCTCTAACCAAAAATTTGCGCTTATTTCTATTAAATTATTAAAAATGAAAATAATTTCATTTTTGAATTGTTTACAAGCACTTAATAGAAAGAAATCTAGCATAATTATATTACAACACCTTCGATTTTGATTCCATAAGTCTTGAAGAGCTATCTGTATTTATGACATACCCATATAGATCGTGTAGCTTGTAAAAAACGAGTCCGCGTATCTATCGAGAGAAAAACTAAGCATATCAGCTATGTAACAATTACATAATAAGAAGTAAATGCAGAATTTATTTAGTTCTATGTATTATTTTTATTTCTTTCAAATTAAACAAAGTAAAGTACAATTGCACAAAAAATGACAATCGTGAAATAAAGTTTCTACTCTGAATGAATTGCTATAATACGACGGATATATATATTCTTGATGGTAGAAAAAGATTATATAGAATCAATTGATATATGTTCAGGCATTCATATTATAATACTTATATCTAGAAGTGTAAGTCATGCAGATTAGCCATCGGTGCTCATCAACTGATTAATTTGTAACTCAATTTTTAATGATTATTAATAAAGTAAATATATGGTGTAATAGAAAATTCTGACAGAATCTTTCGAGATTTAAACGTTTTATCAGATTCTTCTCTGACTTTCGAATAATCTGACACTGAATTCATAAGGATTTTTCCTATGGTTATGCTCCTCTTAAACTTCTGAGAGTTTCTAGTCAAATTAGTGACGAAAGGGTCACTAATTTGACTAGGGTGAGGGTGAGAATGATCGTTGGTAGGTGTTGCATATATAACCCTCACACTCAATAAATGAACGACATTTATTATCGTCTCTATAGATACTGTACTTTTTTTTCTCTCTCTATTTTCGATATTACTCATAAATATATATAAATATATATCAAAATATTACTTTTTTGTATTTACCATGTTCTATTTTGTTGATTTATGAAGCAAATTCAATATACCAGTTGCATTGTAAAGTAAGTTATATTTTTATTTTTCATATTAGAGATGCGACATTTAAAGCTACACGAGATAAATTTCTTAACGCGATCTGTCGCGTAAGTGCTTTTCTCCTGCTTCAGGTGTCATGTTAGCGAACATTCCATATAAGCAAATATTGAAATTAGAAAAATAAATATTTTAAACCAGGAATTCGCAATTGCTATATTTCGATCCAGCAGAATTGTCGACTGATCATCAGACCATATGATATTTGTATCTTTCCAGTAGATTAAATTTTTCTGCTCTATAACTTAGGTCTCTTTCAAAAACAACGAGCTATTCTTACAGATCATAACAGCTGATTATAGGTTATCATCGAACACATCATACAGATCTATCTTCTTTTATATATTTATCCGTCTGTTAGAATATGCCAATAATTTCAGATGAACAAGCGAATGACAAAATATTTGCACTTGTCAATTCCAAATAGGTATGCAAATGAATATATTATAATAAAATACATTTACTGTCAGTTGCTTTTTCTATATTGGAACTGTCTAGTATAGAATAAAATATGAAAAACGAGTCTGTTAAAATGAACAATAAATTGGATTCTTGTTGTAAAAGTCTTTTCTGGTTATATGCTCTTTGTTATTTATATACTTATATATTTTATATTATTTTCTTTTTCAAAAGGGTGTCATTTTTGTAAAAAAAACTGTTAATCTTAGTATCATTGCCATTCATAGCCATTACTACTTAGCAAAAGCAAATAAAAATGAGAATTATAATCAGCTTGAACGAGTTGATTAATTTTTTGAGACGTGATAAAATATCATCAAAAACAGTTGATCAGTTTTAAATAGACTATCAGATGTAGTTTTTAATGTTGATTATTGTAACGAAAAATGACTAAGAGAGAAGACTACAGAAATGATGATAATGATGCATCAAGCGTGTGCCTGTAGCGTTATGAACGATATAAGATGGAAATACAACCTATACTCACCATATACGGCAAAAGTATATATCGTGTATATCGATAAAGGAGCCACAACAGAATAATAAGAATAATAAAATAAGAACACTATCAAAAGATACGACGAATCAAAGGATAGACTACTATAAGGATACATACAATCAAAAGGAATAGAATATAAAGAATACACATTAAAAGAATGAAGGAGAAGTGCCAATATCCGCACAATTATAAATCTGACGTTCATTTCCTACGAAAATAACTTTTTCAAATAAGAAATCGAATTCTAAACTTTCTGAAAACTTTATTTTAGATTTTTGTAAAAAACGAAGGCAATTCTTGGACCATTTCAAGGACGTATCAGTTCCATGCTTTGATATAATGCTTAACAGTATCGACAGATCTGATATTCGAAAAAAATGAAATCATTCTGGACATGTTAAATTTCTTAAAATTGATCAAAATATAAATATTACGGCAATACTTTTGAATGAGTAATATATATTTAGTCCCTCGTATGCGAACTAGTTCATTCCCTACTTTTTATAATGTTCTTATTTAGTAAAATGCGTTAAGTATGTGATTTCAATGTGACGAAGAAATAATTTTTTTTATTTAAAAAGAAAATAAATATAGAGTAAATGTAATGAAAATCTTTTATTTTAACAATAACGGAAATTTTCGATCATTCTTTCGATCATTATCAACCAAAAACACAATCAGAAGATACAAATATAATGAAGTTACAACAGTACAAGAAAAATATAATGTTACAACTAACAATTATACTTATATGAAAACGTAAACTTTAACAACATAAACATTTACATTAATATCAATGACAACCGATGATTATCACCAATAATAAATACTAATTTAATGTAATTTTGATATTGGTTCGATCTCAATATTAAATCAGAATTTATTCCATGTACCTATAATACTTACTAATAACTCATGTATGAATATCTACTTAATAATAATAATAATAATGTCTGAAAATAATAATGAAGACATGACATTTCAATGTAATTTTAAATAAACGAAACCAAATGTAGTTGTACCTTCATTATATTTGTATTTCTGGTTGATAATGATCGAAAAGATCCAAAATTTCCGTTATTGTTAAAATATAAGATTTTCATTAGATTTACTCTACATTTATTTTCATTTATTTAAAATTACATTAAGATCTCATGTTTTCATTACTATTTTCATACATTATTATTTAAAAAGATAACCTTCGTATACTTTGCGTTCCACTATCGATTTGTGTCTGAATGAGATGTGTCTTTTTATTTAAGAATTATTTTTGAAACAGTAACCGGCAAAATATATCTCCACTGAAAGTCACAACACGAATTATAGTAGATAATCATCGTATTAAAGTGAACCAATTTTATATGCAGTAAGATATCAAATACTTTGTTTCGTATCATCACTAATACAAAACTTTTATATTCACCAATGCATTTGGATAGATTATTTATTCTGAATAAACAAAATCAAACAAAAATTTATACTCTGAACATCTCTTATTTTTAAATCAATAAAATATGTTTGGATGAAATATGAACCAACACAACATAATGGTAAGTCAATATCTCTCTTTTAAATTATTTCGAATATTCTCTACTAAAATTCGAGATTCTTCTAATTTATTTTTTTAATAAATACTTATAAGAATTCACTACAATAATACAACATAGAAAAAACTATGTAAAAGATTATTTATTAGCTTCTGTTTTGCTATAATAAGATAAGATCAATGGTTGATTATTTATTTGATATTTATCGGCATTGTTCATAACTTGATCAACTTGTTCAGTATTTGTAAAAGATAAAAATGCATATCTAAATCATAAAGAAAATCTAGTAATTAAAATATGTTAAATAGAATTATTTACCCAAATAAAATTTTCTGATTTGTATTTGATTTTGGAACAATTCTTGATGGAATATATTTAATTTTTTGACAATTAAATAATTTTATTAAATCATCTTCTGAAATATTTTCAGGTATTTGCTGAATAACAATATTCCATTTTTCATTCAATTCATTTTCATTTGAAAGTTCAGACAGATTTTTAACAAATTCTATTTGACAATTTGATCCAAAATGTGAAGAACTAATTGCTCGTTTTCGATTATATTCAGCTTGAAGTTTTGTATGATGAAATATAAATGCATAATTAAGATGTGGTGGTAATTGACTTTGTTTGAAAATAATTTTTGTTGAACCAATAAAATAATTTTTAAGATGATTTTTTGTTATTTGTTTATTTAAATTTGATAAATATAAGATTTTCTTTACATCAACTTCATATTGATTATTAGTTTTTTTTATTATAAATTCATTATGATTTGTTATTCTCTATTTATTAAGAATATTTTTAATATAAAAAAATAATTAAATTAAATAAACTTACTGATAACTTGTTATTTTTCGAATAAGTTTGTTTATTTAATGATTGATTATTAGATGATGATGATGGTATATCAAGAATATTTAATATTTGTTCAGAAGTTAAAGACACAGGTTCATTATTATTCATAAAAATATCATTGGGAAAATCTTCTGATGATAATATTTCGTTAAAATCGGCTTCATTATGAAATTGTGAAAACTGCATTGATTCATTACAAATGTCCATTAGTAAATCTTCTCTAAAAATTCAAATTAATTTATTTGCATCAATTTTACAAATCGAACTTACTTATTAATATTATCGAGAAATGGTATAGCTTCATTTAATTCAGAATCTTTATCTAAATAAATAAATAAATTTTAAAAAATATTCTTAAATAAAAAAGAGAAATACTTTGATGAATATTAATTTGAAAATATTTTTGCATATATTTTTGAATAGCTTCATCATTGTACAAATTCATATCAACTGATTCATCTTTATTTGAATTTGACGGTAATTTACAACGGCATAAAGACGAATTTCTGGTAAATTGATCAAAAACCCAAGATGGTAAACCAAAATGAATTGATTCACATAGAATTTCATCTTGGGTGAAACTTTGTGAAAGAATTCCACATGATAGAATAAGAATTTCATTTACTTTTTGAGTTACTTTTTTATACTTTATATTAAATTTATCAAAGAATGATGGATTAATTATAATTTCATCATGTTCAACACATATTGACGGTTTATTTTCTTGAAATACTTTTTCCAATTTTTTTCTTTCTTCTGATGGAATTACATACCAATAACGAATACCACCTTCATGATGATAATTTAGTTGATAAAGGTTTTGTTTATTTGCAGATAAAGGAAATACTGCACCGGGTCCATGTGCTTTGATTAATGTTGATGAATATTTCTTACAAAATTTTTTTCCAGATAATTTTAAAAGTGATTTATAAGGTAAGTCATGAAAATCAAATTGATCACGATCAACACGTTTTAAAAATAATGATTGACCATTAATTATTGAAATATTTGAGATATTTTCTGTATTCGATCCATTTGGTAATAATAACCAAAATGTTTCATCATTTAGTAAAATATTTTCGTTTAAAATTTCTTTATTTTCATTCAATGAATTCGTTTTTATTGAATAAATTAAATCATCATTACCAATTTGTTTAACTTGTTGAATTGTTGAACATAACGGAACATTCATTAATGTTTTCTTTAATAGATTTTTAAAATTTGATGTCGGAATTAATTTAATCGCACCATTTTCTTTTAATAATGATTCATTTTTATAAAGATATTTTAATAAATCTTTTATTTCATCATCATTTATTGATAATGTAGGAATATCGTATGATTGGGTGGACATATTGTAATTCAAAATCGATAGATAAACAGATGCTTTTTTCTTACTTTATAATTATCGATAATCAAATGTATTTACTAGAAGTTACTTTTGTTCTTGTATTATATTCTAGATAAACAAGTGAGAATAAAGGTAATGTAATATTTTTGTTCGAATAGATTATATCCAAATAGTTTAGTTAAATACTCTATCAATTTTTTAGTAGAAAAATCAAAAATAATAATTATATTCAAGATTATTATATTGACAAATCTTCGATTAAAATAAATTCAATAATAAATAAATTTAAAACTAAGAAAATTATCTTTTTTTTTTCTAAAACGACATTTTCTATGAATGACGTTACTTGATTAATCATCAAATTATTTTTTATCCGTTCGCTATTTGATGACATCGAAGAATGATTTATTGTTCTTTTTAATTTGATCGAGAAGCTGTATAAATCATTGTTTTAATTTCTAATATTACTTATATGATTAATGCGAAATGATAGAATACAAAAGGGCATGGATTTTTTTCTTTATAATATTTATTTGTTTTTGTTATCCTGAATAAAAATAGATTCGTATTACATTAACCATCGAATTTATTTATATAACGAAAAAAAGACATACTTTTTTTCATTAATCATATTTATCTGTTTTTCTTACCTTGCATAAAAAAGTATTCGTATCATGTTAATTCATCTAATTTATCATATAACAAAAAAAAGATAAGAAAAGCATTCATTTTGTCATGATTTCAATGTAAAAAAAAAGCTAAAAAGATTTTATTTAAAAAAAATGAATGAAGATCCATATGTAAATGCAAATCAATGATCAAAATTATTTTATGTGTAAAAATATTTCCATTGATTTGAATTAATTTAAAAATGAAATTGTGTTAGATGGATAACTGATTTATCTAAAAAAAGACATAAAAAAGGAACAATTGAATTAAATGATTTATATAAAATACCTTCCAATCTTGAATAATCATAACTTACTGATAAATTTAAATTAAATTGGTTTAATCAAAAATAAGATTAAATTCATCAAAACCAAGTTTATTTCAAGCAACAAGAATAACAATCCAATGAAAATTTTATTTTTCTACGATTTTTATTATTAATTAAAGAAACGTTTTCTTCTTATTTCATCTAAAACAAAATCTTAAATATTTGTTAAGCACTATTATTAATATATTTAATGAATTATTTTCAACTATATTTTTGCAAATATCATCATGAAAATCATGGATTTATACTATTTTTGTGATTTTTCCTTCTTTTTTTCTTTCAACTTTTATATTTAATCAAATAATTTCATTATTCTCTCTTTTGCTGTTTTTTTTTCATTTGAACTTTTTATTTATTGAAAAAAACGGGATATTATCATTTATTTAAATTATCATTCGAAATGCCTATTGATTATCAAGATTTACTTTTTTGAAAAACTAATTTTATTTGATTTTTTCTTAATAAAAAAAAGATTTAATATATTTAAGTGAAAGATTCTTCGTTTATCAAATTATGAATCAAATAATTTAAATCAAATAGAAATGTGTTTATTATTTTTATTAATAAATATTATTTAGCAAAATAATTCTTCATTATCAGAATAAAATGTTTACAAATATTGGATGAATGTAGTGGAATAATTACAAAATTATTAGATGGATAGGCGTCATCCTACTTATTTTTGGAAGATTATTGTTAACTTTCTTTTCTTGAAAGATAAACGAAACTGAATTCATCTATTGAATTTAATACAATTGAATTAAATTGAATCATTTTTAACTGAATCATGAAATAATAATAATGCATAAAAGTTAGGAACATTATAAAATCAATCATAGCACTTTATTTTGTTGAATTTCTGCTTAACAAATATTTTTCTCGTTTAGTTGATAGAACCTTTTTTAAATTGATTTCAATTGAATTTTCAGATCATGAAAAATATTTCTAAGCTCTATTCAGTTCAATTGTATAATTCGTATGCGAGTTGTTGTTAGTCGATGTTATAGTTAAAGAAGCAATTTCGACACTTAAATTTGACAATTTCACCGTTTAACTTACTGTTCTCTCTCTCTCTGAAAATGATTTCAGCCATTCTCTCTTCTACTGTAAGATTAAAAGGTTAAATTGAGAATAAAAGAAACGTAGGTCAATCATCTTACATCATTGAAGAACATAAAGTTGACGGAGGTTTTCGAATTCTGAAGACAAGATTAATATTACCGAAAATGTATTTTTGAAACATATGTTATTATCTATTAAAGATAGGGCATCAGTAGCCTATGAAAAATCGATTAATACAAATATTTACGATAAAACTTTTCAAAATGAATGATTGAAAACAAATTAAAGATTTTACAATTTATTTATTATACATAGGCTGTAAAATAAAAAACATTCGAAATATTCATTCACAATCAGTACGTCTCATGAAAATAACCTTGAATGAACAATTGCAACTTTCAGCATCTTTTCTAATATCGATTTAACATTTTAAACACATATGATCAAAACTATTGGTTTTAATTTTGGCGAAAATACAATGTTAACAAATATTGACTATGTATTATAATACTTTTGTTGTACATATTCATCGATTTGATGGAAAAAAGAATAAAATCGTTGAAGCATAACCTTATAACAAGCAAATGAAAGTACACGTGTAGATTTTCTTCGCATATTATAATGGAGAAAAAGAAAAAAAATCGTTTAACCTTATAATGATTGAATCGATTACTCGACTTTCTTGGTTGATTTTGTGACAAAATATGTCTTGAAGGAACTAATCAATTTATGATATTATTTTTAAGCAATATATTAAACTATAGTACGATATAAAACGTACAGATTTTAATTTGAAATGTCTTTAAAAATGTTGAATAAAAAGAGATCATGTGACATCTTTCATGAATATAACATTTTCATATATTAAGCCTTTGTTTCTCCCTATTTTTTCATGTTAAAGAAGTGCTAGTGGGTCTCTCTTAAGTTCTAAACTTCTTTTGTATTAGTATTGAGACATAGAAATACCAATAACACACATAAATTCAACTCTTCGATAACTTCAAACGTTATTAGAATAGTTACGAATAAATTATTATTTGTTTTTCTTCGTATAATCTTGTTGTACTTAAAATGTCGATGAAAGGAGAAGAAAAGTTTGTCAATTTTCATGTTTAGAAATTAATCGAAATATTTTTGTTTTAAAATTTATTTCATCAAATGATTTATCTAATGGTTATTATCTGCATTGTCTATATGATGATGATCAAGAATTTTGTTCAACAAAAGAATTAAATATGCAAATATTGAAAAATATCTTTATGATTATTTAAAAAAATTTGTAAAAGATTTTTGTTTTAGAAATCAGTTTAAAGAATTAAATACGAACCAGTTGATTTTAATATTCAATATCCATTTTATATAACAAATCAATCTTATTCTAATTGTAATCTTGATTGACGTGTTTGGTTAAATAAAACATAAAATTATTCTAAACGATACATGTCTTTCTCCATTAAATTATTATGATTGACAATGTAACATATGTAAATTTAACAAGTAGATCTAATATCTTTACTCAACTATAAGAAATACGAAAAAATATTCTTATTTTATTTATTGATAAAATAGAAAATGAAAGAATCATTCATTTATTTATCAATATATGTCATTGTCAAATAAACGCTTTAATTTGTTCATCATTTATGAATTCGTATTGAAATTATATCATATAATAATAAATGTTTATCATTAAATTCGTTATCAATCGGTAAATAAAATTAGATTTATGTAATCTTATCTTAGAAATGGAATATGTGAAAATAGTAATAAATCTATTCCAAATCATGATTTTATAATATTAAATAAAACGAAAATATATTTGAATTCGTTCAAAAGATTTTTGCCGTTAGAATTTGAACTTAAGATTTATTAAAAATATTTATTTATTTTATTCGAATTAACAAATAGATTAATTCAATAAATTTGTAGTCATTGAAAAAATTTAAAACACAACAAAATAAATTTCTCACAAAATTGTCCATGAAGAAATAAATGAAACATATTCTTAATTAAATAGTATTATTCATATTAAATTCTTATCATTTAATCTTGAGGGTGGGTGTAGGTGTGGGTGTGAGTGTATAGATGAAGATAAAATGCTCACACTCACACCCATAATCACATCCGCACACACGCTTTCACCATAGATGTAGTGGCTATGCTCAATTTTAATTAGCGGATTAACTCCTGCAATGTGGAAGAGCACTGGTTTAAAACAGAAGTAAAATTGATTTATATCAGTAGTGTGTTTCAACCTTTAATCTGTTTAGTATACGGACAAATCGGAATGAATTATCTCATCAATGTCAGATATTGAGCAAATTAGTGCACTTGATCATGCCACTTTTTCAGAGAATAAGATTAACACAATAGATTCACAAAGTAGCCCTCTAACACTTCGTAAAGCCTATTTCTTAGATTCAAGACGAGTTTCCGAGATATCTGCCTAACAAACGCCGCTATCTATATCTATGGTGGCAAAATACACTATTTGAGTACGATTTATGCGTTTGTTTGAACTTTGTAGGGAGAGAAATTCGAGTGCTGTTGAATATTCTAAATGACTAAGTACATCGACTAATAAAGATCGACCCCAAGTTGGCGAAAAAATTCAGAAATTCAAACGAAATTCATAATAATATGTGCTTGGATTGCTAGTGGTATTTCGATAATTTCATGTTTCAGACACTTTTCCGAGAAAATGTTTATCTATCGACTCGTATCAATTTTATATTGGACCTTTGAACTTTTTTCAAAAAAGTGCATTTGATATTGATTCTTAGCCAATGAGACGAGACGTTGCTTAAACAATGACAAATATAGCTTCCAATCGGTCATCGCATTCTCAACCTCAAAAATAATAAACTAGAATTTAAAGCATTTATTCTATTCTTTTATACCGTCAAATGGCTA